ATCCAAGCGTGCGAACATCCCTGGGTAAACCGCGCGTATGGCAACACGAGTCGTAAAAAACTCCCTCCCCCTCAACCTCTTTCCTCCTGAGGAAGAGGTAATTTGCAGTCCCTTCATGTCTAACGCCATCACATTCTACCAACTACTTTAACGTAACTGGTTTAGCCTGAAGAGTGATCGTTAATTTCATTTCCCCGTAGCATTTATTGATTTATATGTAGGCGATCTAATGTTATTCCACACGCCAACTGCATTCGTTTTGCTGCATTTGATGCTGTACCGAGCTGGAGTGTGTGTCTACACGTGTATGAGTGACTATAGACGGGGTTTGGATTGATGAATGGATTTATTGCTCACCTATACACACGACTCGGAAGTTGAAGTATTTAAGGCGCCATAGCTAATCTCCACCATTCACAAATCACTACAGCATTCACTATGCCTTTCCCAGCCGTTCTCTGGTAACGGTTTCTAAGAATGGAGATTCTTCAGCTTCACACGCCGAGGTCCACTCTTCTCAGACTCGCGTACAGAGCTGACTAACCTAGCTTTATCCCTCCCTTATAACATCTCGGCACGGACCTCATATGAACACATTTTCCATTGTTATAGTCCAACTATTGCATTGTTAAGAATCTGCTGCCTAACAACGGGAACATATTTACCTAGCCGTTGCCCAGAAACGGTATCTGTACGGAACCTCCGCTTAGCAACGGGTTTTTAAGTCACAATATTTGCGTATACCTCCTTTACACAGCAGACGTACCTACTACCGAAATGACCATGACTGCAACATATGCTGATGACACCGCTGTTTTAGCAACCCATACGGATCCTGCTACGGCATCTAGATGTCTTCAAGAAAACCTACATGACATGCAAAAATGGCTAAGAAAGTGGAAGATCAAAGTCAATGAGAGCAAATCGGTCCAGGTAACATTTACTATGAAAAAAGGACAATGCCCGCCAGTTACACTAAATGACTCACAACTACCACAAGCAGATGAAGCCAAGTATCTTGGCATACATTTAGATCGCCGGGAAACATGGCGGAAACATATCTTCAGCAAAAGAAAACAATTGGGCCTGAAAACTCGGCAATTGTACTGGATAATCGGACGAAGATCACAACTATCTCTTAATAGCAAATTCCTACTCTACAAGGCAATACTCAAACCTATATGGACGTATGGAATATCACTGTGGGGAACAGCCAGCAATTCAAACCTGGAAATACTACAACGATTTCAGAACAAGATTCTCAGAGAAATAGTTGACGCGTCCTGGTATGTGCACAATACAGTGTTACATAAGGACTTAAGTGTATCTACAGTGCGAGAAGAAATTAAAAAGTGTAGTGCTAAGTACAGTCGGAGACTACAAGTACATCCAAACGAACTCGCAGCCTCACTACTAATCCATGAAGATGAAGTTAGGAGATTAAAAAGATTCAAGCCGTCAGACCTATCTGATAGATTTTAGCTAGTTTTAAGTGTATACATGCCACAAATCTTAAGGCATCTACTGGGATAACCTTATTAACACTGTTAATGACATAGTTACCTCAGTCACCAAAAGTGCTCATTGTCCTTAATTGGACAGATTGTATGAATCTATCTAAAAAAAAATATTTGCGTCTCCATATAATAAAAACTTATCAGTATATAAATTGACACTCAAGTCGGGGACTTCCTATCATTTCGTTTTGTTGTTGAAACAACATGGCGTAACGGAACCTGGCTCTGCGTTCATGATCAGGTAAAATTAAGGTAACTACTGTACTGGAAATACCTTGTCTTGGTGGTGGGGCTTGCGTCACTCTGTGACCTGGAGAGCTATGTCGGCGGTAGTTTAACTACCGGTAGGGTCACCCATGCCGAAAAGGTCAAAGAGTAGAGTCCAGACTAAAGGCCCCCATACACAAACAATTTGGTCTTCCGTTCGGCCTGCACAATTGAAGACTGAAAGGCAAACTGATGTGTGTGGTGTGGCCGGCCGGCCAATCGTGTGGACTGTTGGCCTGTAGGAAACCCATCAGTTCGTCAGTTCTACCTGCAGGACCGTAGCACGTGACGTGTGTGATTCAGCAATATAGGCTGAAAAACCGTGACTGTGGCATGAAGCCTGCCGGTTTATCTGCGCATGTACGGGGGGGGCCTAAGAGAGAGAGCCTGGTTCTCCAGGTTGTGGGTTGGGCACGAGGCTAACAACCTCATCCTGTATAACGGAATTTGTTCAGAAACTTAACAACCAGCCTCGGGTCATTATGCGTGTGTCTATTCCTATGGCAGCACGCATTGGTTGTGGAGACTGGTTGTAGAGGAGGCCAAGGCTCACCCAGGGCTGTAGCTCCGAGTGGTAGGTAGGTAGGTAGGTAGGTAGGTAGGTAGGTAGTACTATACTGGAAATATTGGATGGATACTGGTTCAGCGATAAACATAAACTCCGTCTATTGGGGGGCAGTAGAACATGTATCATACTTGTACACGTTGACAGAAGAAGGCCCAGTTTCCGAGAACTCGTATAGATCATAAAAGAGAAGGCGGAAAATGTCCGACTTGTGTGTCAGTCTGATAACACACTTCGTCAAAGAAAATATAAACTTTATTTTACGCCCATGCATTGTTTCAATACCACAGTGCCGAGGTTTGTAGTTGGTATACCGCATATTGTTAATTTTAATTACTTGAACAATTAATTAGGGATTTTTTAATTTATAATTGCTGTTGCAGGCTTGGTCTGTAATATGGAAATCATTTTGTATGTTGCATTGTTTATCTGAATTGAAGAGAGAGGAAACTTGCATTTGTCATTACACCCCTGAGAGAGAAATGCGTTCTTCAGCCTTCGGGCCTTCCAAATTCGCTCCCTATGACATAAATACAGTATGCGCCAAAATATCAGTACTGAAACTTGCGCTCGAACGCGCATGCCCGTGCAAACTGACATTGGTGTGATCAAGTGCGAGGACTCATAATTTCTTCATTTCCTTCTGAAAATGTCTGTGAGGCCGACGTTAGCAAATTAGGGTTTCCTGAACTTCGATCTGATTTATAGAGAAAGATTAATTCTTATCAGGAACGCGGTTTGTCTGAAAGACAAAAATTATTTGTGAATTGCGTCATTTCGCGAAAGATAAAACCCCGCAAAATAAATCAGAACAACTTCCCCTCTGACCCCATTTATTCCTCTCTAGCGTTCAGTTTCAGTTCCATTAACTTCTACAAAAGGGGATGACATTTAAAATACACGCAGATAAAACCGCTAGAATAAAAACATTCTCTTTGATATAGCATACTTATATTTGCAAACTATTAGATGTTATTCCACATACCAAAAGGAAAATGAAACATGGTTCGACATCTCACACCGTCGAACAGATACATAGTACGAAGATGAATCAGTAAATAGGCCACAAATTGATATGAGACGTAAAATATGTGATATTCGATCTGAAAAAAAAAAACTTTACTTCTCGACATGTCCTTCACCAACATTGATAAACTTTTCCCGTCACTTTACCATTACATCGAAACCTACGGCATAGACGTCTTTTTGGCTGTTGTCTCAGCCACTTCCGCACCTTCGTTTCAACCTCTTCATCATCAACGAAACGTTTACCACCGAGGTGGCAATTTCCCGACTCAGTTATGAACCGCTTTACGCGACAGATATTTCACGCTTTAAACCGGAAATATTTTATGAATATCCTCTGTATTCAGCCCTCTTGCCCACAGAAAACGCACAACAGAACACTGTTCTTCGACAGTACACTCGTCAAGTACCGTAGCCTTTTTGACTACTAAAACCAGCCTCTCAAAATGCGCATGCGCATCTGCTACCTAGACTGTCATGAAGGTCATGAAGCTGGACTGTGCTGCTACCTAGCGATATACACAGAGAACCTATTACTTCCATTACAGCTGTTTTACTTCTTTTGCGACCTCTTTACGGACTCTCCATTGTACGTTGGCTCTGGGACAAACGTCAAGGGATCACATAACATTAAGCTGAGCACGGCGCAGCAACAAAGTCGGATCTTAATGATAAGTTGTGGCTGGGTGTGTAAGAAGGCTAAAACGCTGTTCATCCTTAACCAATCAAGCAGCCAGCTAAAGACTGAACGGACTCCACTGAATGGAGTTCTCGATTTGACGTTAATAGAGGCTCTGAGAGTCAAGGAATTTGATACATACACTTTGCTGAACCCAAAGGTCCATTCCCATGCGTATAAGAGCTCACTACTGGGTTCTTCCTAAGCAAGACGAATTCAGTCCACATTCTCACAGTCTGTTCTTTAAGGCTCATTTTATTATTCCCACTTAGGATTTTCACCTAAAATTCTGTATGCATTCTCACCATTCCCATGCTTGCTACATGCGCCCCCGGTCTCATCGTCATTGTAAAATAATTATTTTAACATCACCAAGTCCCCAAGTTTCTGTATCCCTTTTCTTTAAATTAGGCCTATCCGCAGTGGTAAAATTCTGAGGAATTTCAAAGATTCTAAACGGTTAAATACAGAGACCATGCATTAAAAATTGTAGTTCTGTAAGAAGTTAAATCTTTATCTGGCGGGGAGTACTAAGACGGTCTTGTGTTGCTTCTCCTGAAAATCACTGCATTAATATTTACCATTTTTCTGTAAGTGAACAGAGCGGAAGGGGCAGGGGTGTAGCAGACTGAAGGACAGAGTTCTTTTATTGACTTCCAAAGGAACTCCAAAAGGAACATGTGTGAAAAACCAGACTTCAAAATATCGTGCCTTTTGTACGGCTACAGCAAAGTAGGTCAAGAAAGAAGCAGCTAGTTAAAAGTTCTAATAAAAGCAGCGTTCCAGAAGGAACTTATAAATTAGACCACTGTACATATTAGAGGGCTTTATAATTGGATTCATTTTAAATACAGTCTATGTAAAATATGAAAGCCATGGGAGTCTGGATGTAACGCTCGCAGAGACTAGGTTATACTCTAACTGCAATGTCCTTGTATGATTTCAGGTACGCCAACGAACAGACAAGGATTTTGTGCTACATGCAATGGCCAGACGGCAGATACCCAACATCCATGACGGAATATATGTAAGTCCTTATTCAGTTACATTAAGAAAACTTCATATGTTATCAAAAGATTTTAATATTTTGAAAGCTCGAAAATAAATTCAAATAATCGGGATATTGCATTATTGTCGCTTGTATAGGTGTGACTAATAAGACAGAGTTTGCATTAGATGATTGGATTTATTTGGTCACTCCTCGTAAAATCACTCGTAATCACAATTACAATTACAATAACTCACAGTGACTCTACAGCCGAACCCTTCTTCCCTGACTACCCTGGACTCATTCTGAATTGATTCTGTCTCTACTACTGGCTTCCACTGTCAAAGTCAAAGCTATAGTATGACCGACGGTCAGTCGGCCAGTCTAAATTGGTGTCAAGTGCCCATCTGGTGCTCACGACCAGATTTTTATTAGTCAGACAACTGCGCGTTTACTATTGCTGCTGGCCCTCGCCACCACAGTCATTCTCGGACCCAAGTCCAAGTCCAAGTAACATGGCGACTGCAGTCGCTATTTGTGTTGAAGATATGAATATGGTTAAAAAGTTGCAGAAACTTACTGTACAAACACAAATTACATTGTTCCTAAAATTAGTCGGCAATATTTTCATTATTTTGCTAATTATTCACCGTAAAGAACGTAAAGAAAGGTTCACATCAGATCATAAGATTATTCCTACGTTACTGTTTCGTATGATTAAAAATATTCTTCCCCTTTTTGGAGGGTGTCATTATATTCACTTGAAACAAATTAAAATAGCCGATGTTCTAAAATAAATTTTGCATAGATATAGTTCCGAGCAGGACATGAATCCCGAAAGTCGGATTAGTGAAATAGGAATACACGTTCATTTGCAAGGCAACGACTCGCTACACATAATCCCGCAGCAACGAATACGCAAACAACAATTGAATAAATTTATTGCTATGAAACGGCGCTGTAGATACGTTGTCCCAACAATAGAGATGCTGTATTTTCTGCATGATCCGTGCAAAACGGATATAAAAAAGAGTTATTTGAGTTTCGAGACACCAGCCTGCCCCAGCTTGTCGGCGAATTAGTGCCAACTTTAGCGGATAGAGGGAATCGCGTGGTAAGCGCAACGAATCCCCACCGCTGTTAATCTCGCTTTTCTAAACCGGAGCTGCTATTTCCTTGAAATAGCTCCTCAATTATCCCCACGAGGCTGAGTGGACCCCATTCCAGACTCACTACTTACTTACTCATGGAGCTGAGCCCTTCTTGAGGAGTCGCCAATTCTGAAGCTACTCAAGAATTTCACAGCATTTTATGGAACCCGAAGGTTCATCACCGTGTTCACAAGAGCCCTCCACTGGTCCCTATCCTGATCCAGATCTATCCAATGCATACCATCCCATCCTATCTCTCTAAGATCCATTCTAATATTGTCCACCCACCTACGCCTTGGTCTTCCCAGCGGTCTCTTTCCTTCTGGCTATCCCACCAATATCAAATATGCATTCCTCTTCTCCCCCATTCGTGCGACATGACGTGCCCACCTCATCATCCTTGACATGATCATTCTGATTATACTTGGAAAAGAGTACAAGTTATGAAGCTCCCCATTACGCAGTTTTCTCCAACCTCCTGTCACTTCATCTATCTTGGGTCCAAATATTCTCCTCAACACCCTGTTCTCAAACACCCTCAGTCTATGTTCCTCCCTTAATGTCAGAGACCAAGTTTCACAACCATACATCACAGCCGGCAAACTTATAACTTGGTATATTCTAATTTTTATATTTTTGGACAACAGACGAGAAGACAAAAGGTTCTGGACTGAATGGTAGCAAGCATTACCCGAGTTCAATCAATTTCCTCCTGAATCGGGTTTCGATCTGTTATCGTTGTTCCCAAATATCTTAACTGTGCCACATTTTCAAAACGTTTGTTTCCTATCTTCATATCATGATTTTGCCCTGCATTTTGGTGACGAGACAGTAACATATACTTAGTTTTCTCTATGTCTACTTCTAGACCAATCTCTTTACTTGTGTCAATTAAAGTTTGTGTGTTTTTCTTTATGGTATCTACATTATCACCCAGTAGATTCACATCATCGGCGTAGACCAACAGCTGATGTGTCCCGTTTAATTTCAGTCCCACCTAGTTTCCCTGGAACTTCCTAATTGCATATTTTAAGGCAAAGTTGAAAAGGAGGGGCGATAAAGCATCTCCCTGTTTTAGACCATTCTCGATAGGAAATTTATCAGACAGATGTTTACCTACACGGACTTTACTATACGTTTCGTTTAAACACATTTTAATCAACCTAACTAGTTTCATGGGTATCCCAAACTCTATCAGAATGTTGTACAATACTTCTCTCCTAACTAAATCGCAGGCTTTCTTGAAGTCTATAAATAGCTGATGTACTGTCTCATTGTACTCCCATTTTTCTCCAATATCTGACGAATGCAAAAGATCTGATCTGTAGTTGATCTGATACGTCGAAACCCACACTGATGATCCCCAATAATTTCATCTATATATGGACTTAACCTTGAAAGAAGAATATTGGACAAAATTTTATATGACTACTACTTCTCAGAAAATCTGGTAGAGCCGGGAATCAAACCCGGGGCCTCAGGATCTATAGCCAGAAACTCAGACCACAGCGTGACCTACTATGTAATGCAATGTGATAACCCTTGAAGAGCTCATTGCTCTGGTGAACTGGAATTACTTAACGTCAAAGATAAAGCTTACGAGAACGAAAGCTGTTCATTTATACAGAAGGAAATACTCGCATTATGTGAAGTGGATTGAAGTGGAAGAAGAGGAGAGGCAGAATGACGGGATTACGTAGGTACATACAGAGAGATATTCGAGTTTCAGGCAAGAGAACACGTAAGGTCGGCCGCATTAATATCGACCTTCTGCTATGTACGTCAGCGAGGAGCCCAGGTGCTGGCAGATGACGCCTGCCCGAAAGGAACGCACCTTTCGCCACAAATACACAAGAGTGATATCTTCTTAAAAGTGACGCCTTGCAGTCTGGTAGAATTATCAGGAACTTCCTGCGTCGTCTTTGATGTCTAGAATTAACCCAATCAACGAACAGCGAGTAGGGGAACCGAAAAATCTGTAAATGTTTACCAGATTATACGGCACCATATTTCAGAAGATAAAACTCTTCAGAGTCACCGCCATGAGAAACTCAAATCAAATAATTTAACCCCGTTTAGATTCCGATGTTCTGACTTTATAATTTCCCTTCTTGTTTTTGTACCTCGAATTAATCATTGATTTCTTAGGAAAGTTAATCATGTTGATTTGGCAATGGAAAATGCTGTATGTATCACTCCTTTACTCATATCTGTAACTTGTCATTCTTCTTCCCAACTCATAAATATCGCCACACCTTCAGAATGTCACAGTTGTTATAAAAAGTTAGATTTTTCAAACATAATTTCATATTCAGATTTCAATATAGACCTGCATTACGTTTTATAAAGATGTCCAGTCCTAATCATCTTGTTTCCAGATCACAGGATGAGATGAGAAATACAAAGCGGATGTGGAAAAATAACAAATTCCTACCTTTATTGGTTGGGAAATTTGCTCGGAAGAGACCTCCTGGGAGATGTGTTCCTAGAACAGGATATAATATCGAATGTAATTTAATGAAATGATAATCTTTAGAGCTTTACTAGATTAACTCAGAATAAGGCCCAGTGAAAAGGGAGTGTGCTGAAATGGAGCTGCAGTATAGTCGGAACATACTTTTGTATCACATCTTGTAAAAGAGACAATACGGCCGTAAGAGTCATCTCTTGAAAAGCGGAAATAAAACTCAGAAGTAATTTTGTGCAAGCTGCAGTACTGATATATTCATATTGTCACGTGTAGGGGGTACGTGACAAATAATTACGGACTGCCGATTTAACTGATACATAACACTTCGTAACTGCGAACAATGGACACACTATAATGTTCCTTGTAACCAAGCCACACGAAGGCTTCTGTCGGTTTTCCTCTTACTGATCACTGATCTGATTTCAGCCCTGGTCTTCTCGCGTATCGAAGTCTTGCTGTCGAATCTCCTCGAACAGTGTTCACTGTTCCCTACATAGGCTCAGCACGGACCACTCGCAGAAAACGCATCGCTGTTTAGCAACGGATATCATATATTGTTGTCAGGCATGTCCACCCATGCATTGCCTAGCAATGGACGCCCTATTGTTACGCATTCGTTGCTGTGATATGTGCTTACAGGTCTGTAACCTAGCAACGGACGCCATTCTATTTTTGGATTCTTATTGGTTGGAACATGTTTACGTATTCGTCTCCTATAAACGGCCTAATCTGTCACAGTGCTTCCTGCATAAAGATTCACACTTTAATAATATCATTAGTCTTCTATTATTGGTGCCTTCCAATAACTTACTTCACTTTATTTTACTAAATGAAACTTGTATAAATTTTAACAATGAACAACCTATAACTGTAACTTTATGTGTGACGGCGTGACGCAAGGTTGCTCCCACTAGACTCAGAGGTTGGAAGACGACTAATTTGATAAAAGACTTCTATAAATTAATGACTTTCTTCGATCCCAAATTTCTAAGAGGAAACTCCTCCCTAAAACGGGCATTTTTGTTTCAGTTGAAAATTTTAGAGTTCACCAGAAATTCGCGTTTCCAAATTATGTAGATTTACTGCGCGATTTTAGTCCTTAAAGACGCAGCGGCACTTTTGTAAGAAGCTTATCTATAACCATCTAAGATTAGGTTCCTGGCCGTCCCTCTTATAAGTCATAGCTTGCACTAGCTGTCAAATCTCAGATTACCAAACACATGCCGCTGTAGCTAAAATTCCAGGAAAATAGCAGATGGTACAGCCTGTTCATACAGCAAGATTGAGCCTATGTCACTTTCTTATTGTGAAAATGTTGGCTATCTGCGTACTTTTACTTGTAACCTATAGCTTTAAGTTAGTTAATCTTAATTAACAAATTATATATTACCTATAATTCCAGCAAACTGCCACGCCTCTTTTATGACGAATACAGCAATTTTATATGATTACAACAGAAATTTGTTTTCTTCTCAATGATTCTGAAGGCAAATGTAAAAAGCATAGTTTTATTCCCTGCTTCTACGGAGCAGATCATACCTAATGCCACAACGACAGCTTGTCCATCAGTATAAATGAAGCGTCTTCCAGAACCGCCGAACGCATTTTCGTAAAATTTAATAAATATTAATGTTTATCCACCCCTTTCAGTTTGGTTAAAATTGGATTAAGCGGATACTTCAAACGAAGACCTGCATTCATTTTTGAGCTTATCTTGAGCGTAAGACGCAAAAAATTGTCACACGATAGTGACTAGACACTGGGTTTGGATTAATTATTGCATTTATTTAACAATTAAATTTCGTAATTACAAATATTTGTAACGCTATCATTGAATCTACAGGCTGTATATTTCACTACAGGTGAACCTATGTCTTCTCAGTGTTGAGAAGTCGCTTCCAGGAAACACCTCCCAAAAATGGAAATTCTCACGGCCAACAACGAACTGCCAGCGCTGACTTCCAGCCTTCCTTTCTCGTGGTTTGGGTCTCATGAGTCATGTCGCGGCATGAGCACGTCGACAAAGTAAACAATTTCATTAACATTCACAGCATTGTTATATTAACAACCGATTTTAATGTTCCTTCTGGGAGTTTCACTCTTCCCGTTGCAGACTTCTTGATATGGGCCACGGTTATCTCAGTAGGTCATGGCGTCTACTTCATGAAATAATCAATTGGAAACTGCAGAGTAAAATAGCAAGGAAAGGTAGGATGTACCAGAGCATACCCAATCATAATTTCCAGACATAAGACGTGGCCTAATGTCAGTTCACCACCTACAGGCTTTCTGTCTTCACGATTGCACTCGATTTGCTTTTTTGGCGGTTTCACAAGGATTAACTTGGAAAATTCTCCCCCAAGGCGCTATTGAACATATATGAATTTAAACTTCTGCTGATCAACTGGGCAATTATCCAGGGAAACAAGGTGTGAGTGAAACTAAACGGGACACATCAGCTGTTGGCCCATGCCGATGATGTGAACTTACTGGGTGACAATGCAGGTACCATAAAGAAAAACACGCAAATTTTAATTGACGCAAGTACGTGCAAAGAGGTTTGTGTACAAGTAAACACAGAGAAAACTAAGTATATGTTATTGTGTCGTCGCCAAAATGCAGGGCAAAATCATGATATGAAGATAGGAAACAAATGTTTTGAAAACGTGGCACAGTTCAGACATTTGGGAAGAACGATAACAGATGGAAACCTGATTGAGGAGGAAATTAAGTGGCGATTGAACTCGGGTAATGCTTGCTACAATTCAGTCCACAACCTTTTGTTTTCTCGTCTGTTGTCCAAAAACATAAAAATTAGAATATAAAAAGTTATAAGTTTGCCGGCTGTGATGTATGGGTGTGAAACTTGGTCTCTGACACTAAGGGAGAACAGACTGAGTGTGTTTGAGAACAGGGTGTTGAGGAGAATATTTGGGCCGAAGAGGAATGAAGTGACAGGAGGTTTGGAGGAAACTCCATAATGAGGAGCTTCATAACTTGTACTCTTCTCCAGGTATAATTAGAATGATCAAGTCAAGGAGGATGAGGCGGGCAGGGCATGTAGCACGAATGGGGGAGAAAAGGAATACATATGGGATATTGGTGGGAAAGCCAGAAGGAAAGAGACCACAGGGGAGACCAAGGCGTAGGTGGATGGACAATATTAGAATGGATCTTAGAGAGATAGGATGGGATGGTATGGATTGGATAGATCTGGCTCAGGATAGGGACCAGTGGAGGGTTCTTGTGAACACAGTAATGAACCTTCGGGTTCCATAAAATGCTGGGAAATTCTTGAGTAGCTGCAGAATTGGCGACTCCTCCAGAAGGGCTCAGCTCCATGAGTAAGTAAGTAAGTAAGTAAGTAAGTAAGTAAGTAATAATAATAATAATAATAATAATAATAATATTTCTATTCTGTTCTTTATTATTTTTGTGCCTAGTCAACAGTTATAAGGCCAATTACAGACACAGCACAGTGTAGATACGGTAACGGCAAGGTAAAGTTGTCCCTGTGCTTATAAACACTACACCATAAAGGCGTATGGGGGAGAGGATGTATAGATCCATATTTCCTTGACTTCTGCTCTAGTTGGAGATGAGTGGTCAACTTCACGCCCCTGCAGCTTTACCCCCGGGGAAAGAACCCCCGGTACCCTTGGATAGGAGGCTCGGTGGGCCACACCTCGTTTGAAAGACATGGAGAAGAAAAAAATCTTGATCATATCGGGACTCGAACTCCGAACCTTCGGTCGTGCAGCTCGCAGCCAGTCGCTATACCGAATACGCTAGCCCGGCTCCCGTATATATAGTAACGACTAGGATTAGAAGGCTATAGTGGTTCTTTAGGGGGTGGCTAATATATAACCAGTCGCTAAAGGAAAGCCTTCGAATTGTAAATACGCGAGTTTCAATATCTGCTCATTTCCATTTGCAGATGCATATCCGTGATATTGTTCTTGTTTCATCTTTACATTGCTTTATTTTCTGAGAATGTGATTCCCAGAAGTTTGAGACTTGTATGCGATTTGATGTCATGACGTGTAAACCTTCGCCATCATTTCGGATGAACTTACTGCTTCTATCATCACGGTCGAAGAGTAAGTCAAGCAGGCTTTCGGGCGGTATGTTACAGTGCTAATACTCGCAGCAGGAGGATATGTGTTGTTCCGTCGTCAGTTGTCATTTCATTCAAAATTATTATTTAGAAAAAATTCCTGGCTCATGTAGTTTATGTCTATTCAGTAATGAATTTTGCATTGTAATTTGACGAATTGAAGCGCCTTGTGTGGTGTACTGATGACGCAATGCATCCTGTTTAGGTACAACCTGGTGTTCCTGGGCCTCACATACCTGGTGCCTGTGATAGCAATGGCAGTCTGTTACACCCTCATGGGGAGAGAGCTTTGGGGAAGTCGATCCATAGGGGAGCTCACTCAACGTCAAGTAGACTCCATCAAATCCAAAAGGAAGGTGAGTAACTGCTCGTATGGTCCCGAAAATAAGGTTGCAGCTCATAGACAATTACTCTGGTTACCACGGTGTCATACAGGAGAAGACCAAGTCTCAATTTTCGCCTCTCATCGTCTTCCACTTATTATTATAGTGTGATATCCCAGAAGATATGACTGTGTCTTCGATTTGAGGACACAAAACCTGGGTCTTCTTGATCAGTAACATGTTTTGTCCATCTTCGTACTCACAGTCGTGAATATTTGGTGTAATAGAGATGCCGCGTGGATTTTCTTTCTAAATATATCAGAAGTTCTACTGCAACCACCATGGCGAAACGTCCGCGTAATATTGGAGTTAGTTCTAATTCCGATTCTGAAGCACAGTTTGCGTCTCACGACTCACATTATGGTTTTACGCATGATTTTTCTGAATACAGTGAAGATGTTACCAGAAGCGGCGAAGACAAGGCTTCAGTGCACCATTTCACTGGCCCTCATCCTGGATTGATTCGTGTTGTTGTACCTGACGTCAGTGGAGATTAGTTTTCATTTGACTTCTTCAGCCTAATGTTTACTGAAGAACTATTCAGCACTATTCTGACAGAGAGGAGTCGCTAATCTGTGCTGTAGTGCAGTGATATCTGGAGTGTGACGGTTATAGTTCCTGTGTAATAAATTCATTGACAGGAATCGGATAAGAAAATCTTTGCATGGGAATAGTCATTGTTCAGACCCGTCACTTAGCAACGTCGAGTGTGAGCAGATATACGTGTATAATACTTTATTTATGTGTTATAATTACAGTAATCTTAAAATTGCTATAATTATTTGTAGTTAGGACTAGTGAATATCCAATAAATCAATTCACTGATCCAAACCCGCGTCTCTAGTCCCTAATACACGTGACAGTCAGCTGATGAAGTAATGTTGAGGTTCGGAGGAAGGATGGGGTTTCGGCCGTAAGTCCCGAAGAAGAGAAAAAGATTTGGAATCAATGGTTGTGTTTATGACATGGTTACTTGTCTTGTTAAACAGCGTGCGAATACTGCTGGAAATGTCGCCCTTCCACATGGAACAGTGCTGAAGTCAAGAAGAAAAGTAGAAAGAATAGGACAAAATTGATTATCAGATAATTACTTTTCGTCGCGTCAACTGTTTTCAGATCTATACAGTGTAAAAATGAACACCTGCTCTACCGTTCGACACAGCATGCCAGCAAACTTTGGGCCAAAGGTACTGAAGTTGAAGAAACGGGATCTTCTGTGTAAGGTGAAAGGAGGCACCAGCGCTCTGTGTTGGAAAGACGAAACGGGATGTGTTCTCAACAATATGCGCCAGGTCCCCGGCATCAAGTCTTTATGTGGACGACTAAGGAAATGCGCCCTAACCGTTATGCATTGCAAGTTACAAGAGCAACACGGGTTTTGTTGACATAATGGTATGATGGGCAGCAGACTTGGAAATGGGGGGTGAACTGTTCTTTCACTTACTCGACCTCAGTTGCTCATGTCGGGGTACATCCAGCCTTAAATTGTAACTCTTCTATTCACGCTGCGCAATATATAAACCCAGCTTCTTCTAAATCAGGTCCTGGCCAGCAGCCATCACAAGTATTTCGTATTTCCTGGAGGTGAAGGAAAAGAAGTTTCACGATCGCTTTATTACTCTGAAGACTCCAGTGTAGATCTGTGTGTATCCATGTGCCAAACTGTAGCACACACTGATGCATTACCGAAAATGTCTTAAGAAAAATCAGCTGTATTTTCTTCGGCTCATTTTTACCTACAGCACTTGTAATGGCGAAATTATACATTTAGATAACCCAGTAACTCTGACTAAATATACGGCTGTGAAAGTGATACTGTCTGGGTGCATGATATAAACAATGTTTGTGTTCTCTGTTGAGGATCAAATTTGGGGATTGAAAATTTAAGTCATTACCTAGGTGCCTGGAGACTTGCGAAAAGTGTTTTGCAGTGAAAGAGCAAAGATGACAACACATGGACACGCAATGAGGTTAAGAATGCGATAATCAGCATTCATGCGTAATACCGT